AGGGGTATTGTGGTTACTCTGATGAATTCTTCATTCACCTAGGGATATAGGTAGTATATATATAGACAGACAAATATATGTGCCTCATGCAAAAGCATGTGATTTAGCTTTACGCACATTTGATTACACACACATACTATGAGTAAAGTAAGTGTACCTCTTGAACTTCGAAGAGTGCTGGCCATCTCGATCATTTCCCCCCCCACATTGAAAAATGAAATCCCCCCAAAAGTTTCTGCTGTATGTCCAACCGTATCAGCAATGATGAGGGTTGAGGCTGAAGATATAGATGTTTCCAGCCGAGGAAACCAATATCCTAGATAAGAGTGAGAGGGGTCTGAAAGAGGGAGAAAAAAAAGAGAGATTAACTCATAGTCTTCATAAACATCACCAATAGAAATGCTCAAATCAATGGCAGAATATGATTTAACTTTAACGCAATCAATATAGTTGTTGAAGACCTTTGTGTGCGTTCAGGCTTAGTTTAGGATGAAGTCATCTAGCTATATTTTTTATCTACGATTGTACACACCTATAGTAAGGTTAGCAGTGTTTTTGGATTGTACATTTCATATCTTGTTTGTCAAATTGACATTACATTACAAATTGCTGGGTGCGCCATTGTCTTTATCATTTTGAGATGCTCAGATCAGAGCAGACCCTTCTCACCTCCCATCTTAGTTGTTAATATTAGCAGGGTGGGCAATTATTTTCTTGGGGGGCAAAATGAGAAACCCAGATTGTTGCAGGGTGCCAAACTAATTAAATTCAGGAGTAACCTCTAAGTTTATCACTAAATTAAATTAATAAAACATACTGTGCACTTATTTTCCAGCATTTTTATATTGGAAATCACACCACACAGCATCTTATTAAGATAATTACATTATATGCAGGAGTCTTTGAACCAACTGCTACCAAGTTATTAGCTACCTAGCAAGCCGCTAGCATACCACCATGCGGTCCGGGCATGGTGTTATGCTAGCTGCTTGCTAGCTAGCTAATAACTAGCTAATTAACGTTACCGCTGTAAAATAAGTCACGGATAAATGAGTTAATTTATTTAACATTTACCAACGTTGACATCACTTATTGTTACCAAGTGTAAAGTTAAACTAAACTAAGTTTAAGACTTACCAACGTGGACATCACGTAGCCTAATGTTACCAAGTGTAAAGTTAAACTACCTAAGTTTAAGACGTACCAACGTGGACATCACGTAATGTTGGCAAGTGCAACGTTAAACTAAACTAAGTTAAACATTACCAACGTCAACATCAAATAATGTTACCAAGTACGTTTGCAGAGAAATGGCAAAATATATAGCATGGAAAATAAAACTTGAAGTTGAATTAGAACCACCGGGCCCGCATGGTATGCTAGCTAAAACATGGTGGTATGCTAGCAGCTTGCTAGCTAGCTAATAACTAGCTAATTAACGTTACCGCTGTAAATTAAGTCACGGATAAAATGAGTTAATTTATGTAACATTTACCAACGTCGACATCACGTATTGTTACCAAGTGTAAAGTTAAACTAAACTAAGTTTAAGACTTACCAACGTTGACATCACGTAATGTTAGCAAGTGTAACGTTAAACTAGACGAAAGTCTTTCTCTGGTCTGCATCCCCTTAACAATTGTATGTTTTGAGCTGTACTGTACTGTACCCAATATACAAGCTGTTAATAAACTTTTCAATCAATCAATCAATCAAAACTAAACTAAGTTTAACATTTACCAACGTCGACATTAAATAATGTTACCAAGTACGTTGCAGAGAAATGGCAAAAATATATAGCACGGAAATAACAGTATGCTACAAAATACAGCAGCATAATTAAATTGTTGTTTTCACTTACCACAATGTAATGGTTGCTCTCTGTCTCTCCGGTGCAGGAAAAGATCTGTCGTGTTGAGAAATGGCTCTCTTCCTGGGCGGCCTGGGTTGTGTGAACTGTGAAGACGGTCCTCTCTTTTAGCTTTAGGAAAGTGCAGAGCCTGAAACTCCAAGTTTTTGGAGTTTCATTTTGGTTTCATTTGTTTATTCATTTGTGTTTACATTAATTAAGATTTGGTGTATTTTGTTGGTTTTCCTTTGTTTATCTTTCTGCACCGAACGGGGCAGAACCCTAACCTTTTGTCTTGTGCCGGACAGGTGCTGTGGGCCTGAGGCGGCAGACTCCCTGGTGGGAGCAGTGGTGTTCTTCACGTGTCCGTTTTGTGTGGTGTGCAGCGTCAGTGATTTAGTTTGGACTCCTTGCTCCCCTTTGTGCTGCCGCTGTGGTAAGTCCCAGCCCTGTCCTTTTCCCCAAAGTGTGGATGTTATTGAAATGTATTGTGTCTGGTGTTTTAGATATTCTGTATTTTATAAATAATGTAGCCTTTGATATTAACCCTTAAACTGTCTCTGGGCGAAACTCCACCAGGTGGCGTTGTCAGCAACCGACCTCTTACACCTAGCCGCACCACCCCGCCACAACGCAGAGAACACCGACACAGTAACACAGAAAGCACACACACAGGTACACACATTACACAGAAAGCACACGACAGGTACACACAGTAACACAGAAAGCACACACACAGGTACACACATTAACACAGAAAGCACACAGACAGGTACACACAGTAACACAGAAAGCACACACAGGTACACACAGTAACACAGAAAGCACACACACAGGTACACACAGAAAGCACACACACAGGTACACACAGCATCACACACATACAGACACTCAGGTCACACACAAAGCAGACAGTGAGGTAAATACATTAGTTGAAACTCATCACAGGAAGGACAGTGCCAATTCTTTACATCTGTTCAGAAAAACACAACCAGAGTCCTTTAGAAACGATGGAATTAAGATAAAATAAGACTTCAATTGTTATGCCAGAGATACAAAAATACAATAAACACAGCAGCGGGTTAGGGTTAGCCTAGCCTAGCCTAACCCTAGTAAAACTGTACACTAACAGTGCAGTAAAAACAGCAATTAAATATCTACAGGAAACAGAGACGGTCACATAATTAATGTGAATATTAACAGTAAGCCATGGTATATTTCCAACTTTACCAAACCTCCATTCTTACAAAAAAACGGTTACCTCGATCTGGACTTACCGGCTATAACTTGATCATCATTTCTGAACTACAGCCCATAATTCGGATGAGGCTGAGAGGAAGAGCTGTTGTCTTTGAGTCAGAAGAAGCCAAGTTATCAGGTTGATTTAACCTAGTGTGTATTGTGCTGCTTGTTAAATGTGTGCGTTATCTCACTGCTACAGTGGAGAAGAGCTTCAAAATCAGAAACCTGTTAGAAATCCCATCCATTACACTCCTGTTACTGAGCTTTAGGTAGAAGCAAAACCTTTAATAGCAACACCATTTTTGACGCTAATAAACATTTATATCTGGCTCTTGAGGGCTCTGAGAGAAGTGTACTTCTTGCGCCAATTCCATCAATAAAAGTCAATCAAAGTTTATTTATTCAGCCCAATATGACAAATTGTAGTTTTGTCTCAGGGGCTTTAAGGTTAATACAGAACATGACATATTTATTGAAGAGAGAAGTGTTTCTCCTTGCACTGTGAACAACTTGACACAAAGCTTCCAAATAAAAGGGGACTGGTCAGAGGAGTGAAATTAAATATGATAGCAGCTCAAAGATATTGTTAAAGACACTTGTTGAAACTTTCAGAGAAACTGAAAGTACATTTGTTATAAATTCTGTCGTATCCACAGAAAACTACCGAGCAAAACAGACAAAGAAATTAATAAATAAATAAATGTAAGTGAAAATAAATGTAGAAATACATTAAAGATCTGCGTGTTCTGTTTCATTCTGAACTTTTATTTTTTTATTTATACATTTAATTTTTTTCAATATTTATTATTTTTTTCTTGCGTTTATTTATTTCTGTATTCCTGTATTTATTCCTGATTCTTTTCCTGTATTTATGCGTGTATTTATTTTATACTTATGCCATGTTCTGTCCTCAATACCTGGCTGCTTCTTGTGTGCATAAAAGTACAAGTTCACTCAAGTTCACAACAAGACCTGTAGTTGGGTGTTAATTGTTTTAAAAACACACTGCAGGTCCAGAGGTTTATGCATTTGGGTTTTCATGCAGTTGTTCGAGGTTCAACACCCAGGAGAGGGACATCATTTGTCTTCTGCTGTGCTGATGTTAAATCTGGAGAAATGGTTTTCCATCAGTGAAATACGGCTCTTTACTGAAACCTAGTGGCAGCAGAATGAAACTGCAACTACATCAGCAAACGCATGTTCCTCTCTAATATCCTAATGTGCTTTTCAAAAACATTTATTTTGGAATTGGAATGAATCCAACAAGTAGTTGTTGATATTTCAGTTTAGACAAGAAGAAGAACATTGTAAAGAAATATTATGAATAAAGTTGATAAATGTACTTTAAAAACAATGGAAATTGGTTTGTTATCAGTAAATTATACCTCTTAGTAATATCTACATTTTCCAACAAGCCAGCAGTTAGGGGTCAGATCCCTTGTTGCAACATCTCTACATTTAGAATCAGGTAAATCATGTTAACAAGAAATATTTCAATTCAGTACATTAAGCTGTGAAATACTTAACAACATCTTTACATTTGAGCCATTCAGATTAAAAAATAGGCTGAAAACTCATCTCCTCATTCATGGAGAGGTCCACCCTGAGACATGTATTTAAAAAATCCACATTACCCTGTGTAAATAGAAATGTGAATGTATAAAACAGAAGTATCATCCTTCAAATGCAACGCCTGCTGTGTTCTGGATTTGTTGACCGTGCTGTACAATGCAGCTGGATCCTCTTCAGAGTCCTGACCTCTGGTCCTGAGAGATAAATGATGTATTTCTTAGTGGTAATAATAAGCAAAAGGAATTAAATGATATGTGACAATGTTCCTGTGAGGATCTGCTCACCTCGGGGCAGCTGCTGAACTTGACGGCAGCGTACTCCGGGACTTCCTGTTGCTCCGTGTGTCTGAGGGGCTGAGCTGCTCTCATGTTGGAGTAAAGAGGATCTGCCCGGTTGTTGGAGAAGTGAACGCTGGCATACTGAAGGTCATCCTGCTGCTCCAGCTGATCAGGTACACTGCAGGGATGAAACACTTTCAGGTACACATTTTCACATTAATAGCCTTTTCATTTACAGAGGAATGGACCCAGGACAGAAAAGGCCAAAGCAACAGCAGCTGTGGTAATGATGGAACAATATCCCTGCTTTATCAACATGCTGCTTATGACAGAAAAGATTAAGGATAAATATAGGAAACTCTGGATGTACTTGAAATGTTCTCACGTCTAAGAGGAGAATCAAAGAGATTGTGATAAAATTAACTTTTATAGAAGGATGTAAAAAGAGCAGCAAGAGGTCCTTCTATGTCAGATCACTTTTCTATAAGTACTTAAAGACCACCATCATTATAAATTGAGTGTAATATGTTTTCTTTTGTACTAGATTAATTACGTAAGCATCTATTCTCACCTCCTCCCTGATGTCCGCTCTCTCTTCAGGCTCAGACGAGTCTCTAGAAGCCCTCTTTCTTCTGGTTAGGAGAGTTTATGAAGAAAAAGAAGATCAAATGTTTGACACCAGACAAACAGACTTTTAATGATTTAACAAACAACGATTAAGAGGATCAGATCTGCTCACCTGATCCACAGGAAGACAGAGGAGAATGACAGCCAGGAGAACAACAGGGATTGTTACAGCAGCTGGTAGCTTCCATGATCCTGAGAAACAGTGATCAACAGAGAACAGATGGTTAATACAGCAGTGTTCTCAAATATGGTTTTTTGAAGTTCTTTTTTGTGGATTTTTGGATTGCCCGCGTTTGAAGTGGAGTATTGGATTTCACTTCGAAGACACCGGGCCAGGCCCGGTTCTACAGGGGTGCATAAGGGCACATTGCACCCTCAGTTGAGTTGTTATGCACCCTCATTTGAAAAAAAAAAGTAAAAAAAATAATAATAATTAAAAGTGAAAAATATTACATATTATTATAATAACAATATTAATAATAGTAGTAATAATAATAATAATAAGAATATAGTTGAAAATAAAATAAATTGTGGTTAAATAACATTGTCTGCTGCATTTATTTGGTCAATTGAAATGGAAAGTAACGTTATTATGTCAGGTGTGCGTGACCTCTGCGCGTTCGTCATCTGCAGGTGCTTACACAGCAGTCAGTGATGGACATCAGAAAATGGTTAAAAAACCAGCCCTTATCGCCAGCAGTAACACTGCATCTACTGCAGGTAATAACAGTTCAGATCATGAGGACATTAAGTTACACGGCCACTGAGTTTGCCCGCCTCGCCCACGGAGGCGGAGCAGCCACAGCCGTCTTCGTTGCCCCAAACACAGCCACCCCTCAGCGGCCCGCAAGTGCCAGAGGACCTCGGGAAAAACAGAGCCTGCCCAGATATATTTAAAAAAGTACCCAACTCGCCTGTACAGTGGGTAAGGCGCTCATTTTGCAGCTCATGGTTTAAAACACAGATTAGTTGGAATATTCATGTGAAAAAGATGCCATCTTCTGCTATGCATGTAGACATTTCGGTTCAAGTAAGTCAGATGCCTTCACCACAACTGGCTACAACAACTGGCGCCATGCTCTTGTACCTGATAAGGGACTGGGAAGCCATGAATCAATCAAAGAGCACATAGATCCATAGATCTCTTCATTTTGCTTCAAAGTGCACCAGATTGATGCTTTCAATATTAAAAAACAAATCTTCCCGGGGGAGCATGCCCCCGGACCCCCCTAGAGAAGGTGAGGACCCCCCTAGCAAAACAAAAATAATCTGTATGCAGCAGTTTTCATTGTTATTGTGTCTGTGCTTGACCCCTCAGAGTCGCAGTGTAAGAGCTGCACAGTTATGAATAAAGGCAGCTGCACCCTCTTTCATTCAGCATTCCCATTATTGCTTTATAAATGTCTTGCCCCCTTGTGTGTCCACTGAGGTTCGTCAGGCCCAACACATCTTCAACAAACTCCCCCTTTGCCTCATCATACAAACTCACAAACACCAGCAACTGAGCATTGTCAGCGGTGTCAGTGGACTCACCCACAGCTAAGGAAATGCACTGTGCATTTTCTATTCCATCACAAAGCTGATTAATCAAATCACCAGCCAGTATTTATGTTCTTCTGGTTGCTGTGGAATCTGAGAGGGGATTTGCTTGATTTTACCTGTTATTTCCTCTTTTGTTTGCCTTCAACATGGTCTCCATCACTTCAGTCATGCATTCTTTTATACTTCAGTTATTCTCCAGTGGAAAGTCCTTACCTATATAATCCTTATCTTTCTTACAGTGCAGACGCTTTTCTGCTTGCTCTTGCCTCTGCTTACTTTTTATGCTGATTTTCCTATTCTTATTCTCTGAAAACTTCGAGCAGCGGCTCCTGGACATTAACTTATAACTGGGACAGTTCATCTTCGTAAATAGACGGAGGGTTTCAGCCATATTTCAACATTTTTACGACGACGTCAGTCTTACAATAGCGTGGCCTAGCAACAGCTAAAGCCTGGTAGGCTACTGCTATTTAGCTTAAGCTAGTTGGTAGCAAAATGCCTCCGTTCTCTACAGATGACTTCCAGAAACTTATACAGAAGATGGCTGTGTTGGAAATGAAAATGCAACGGTTGGAAGTTAACGTGGAAGTGAATGGACTATGTCGTGGGAATGACACGACTTTACCAGTGTTGCAAAGTAATGGAGAAGGGTATGCTAACTCACAGCTAGTTAGCAGCTACAAGGATTCCAAGGAACAGGAGGGCTGTGTACCGGGTAATAAATCTACAAGTGGTAGTCCTCCCTGGAACTCTCTGGGTGCAAAGCCTAAGAGTAAATCACTTCCATGGGATTTGGGAGGACGGATAACAGGCAGAGCCCAGAGCTCCGAAATCTGTGATGCGACCGGCTGGCCTGCATTGTTATCACCCAGGAAGAGCGCCTCTTCAACCCCTATTCATACTAGGAAACAGCAGTGGACAGCTGCTAAAGGAGAATTACAAACAATCCTCCTAAACCACCAAGTGTGCCAATCCAGAACAGATACGCTCCGCTGACCGAGAACCGGAGATCTGATGACCTGGATAACCTGTCCTCTTCACGCAGCAGGGTAAGGACCAATAGCTACTCTAAAAGTAAAAGGCTAGAGGGAAAGCTAACGACTGGGCCTGAAACTCTGATTGTGGGTGACTCTGCTGTAAGAGATGTAAAAGGTCTGTGTAATAAGAACAACACCAAAGTACTCTGTTTTCCCAAGGATGTGGTCTCTGACTTGGCTGAGAAGATCCTGCATATTGGGGCTGAACATCCGATTGTGAAGAATGTGGTACTGCACATTGGAACAAATGATGTTGTGAAACAACAGTCAGAAGTGCTGAAAGAAGACTTTAAATGTTTGTTGGAAACTGCCAGCTCTCTAAATGCGGAGGTGTTCATCAGTGGCCCTCTACCGCCAGTCAGAAGAGGAGTGGAGAGATTCAGCAGATTGTTTGCACTGAACACCTGGCTTTCAACGGCCTGTACTGACCATTCTGTTCATTTTATTGACAATTTTAACTTTTTCTGGGATCGCAGACATCTTTTCAAGGCAAATGGAGTTTGCCTGAACAAGTCAGGAGTGAAATTGTTTATCTCTAACATATTCAACTGCCTGCGTCATCAATCTGTTCCCTCTGCCAAGGACAAGCGGCAAGAGGAATCAAAACACGAGAAAGACACAACACATCACGCAGAAAACCCTGAAGAATTATCACTGCACCCGCCTGAGGAATGTTCTGATTATGGGAGACATATGAGACACATGGAGGAGTCTCCACTGCCCCCCCCCCTGTCAACGCCTTTGAGGATACTCCGTTCACCCTTTCACCCTCGCCCACCCTCCTGGAGATCGATGAACACACAAAGGAGATACAGAGGGTTGGCACCGATTCCTTCCTGGAGTTCAAAGACCAAACGAAGGCGATACGCAGGATTGGCAGCATGTCCTTTACCCCCGCTCCTCAACGACGCCCACCAAAATCACCGCGGAGACGCGCACCATCTCCCCCGTCCTCATCACCGCGCCTACGTCAACCACCTCCCCCCCCTGGCAGCATGTCCTCTACCCCCGCACCATCTAGCCCGTCTCCATCACCGTGCCTACGTCGACCACCTCCCCTCCCTTCGAGGGGGCTTCTGCAGTCTCCGAAGCCTGATAAGGATGTGTGTGTACAAAACACAACAAACTCTTACTGATATGTGATGGGTCCAGGCTCAAGGGCGTATGGCACTCTCAACTCTTTCCAGGACATGTCGGGGCCCTGCCTGCCAGTAGTAGCTTTGCCGATATCTGTGTTGATAGGTAATAGATTAAGAGCGGTGAATCATAGAAACAGGAAGCGCTCAAACGTTTGTGTGAGTGTATCTAATTTAGCAGTGATTCCATGTCAGCCACAGCTTGTTACAAAAAACATGACTGATAGTGTGTTTAACAAACTTAAACTAGCTTTATTAAATGTCAGGTCTTTGGCAGGAAAAACATTTTTAATCAATGATTTAATCACTGAGCACAATCTCGATTTTATGTTTTTAACAGAAACTTGGATTGAACAAAATAACAGTGCAGCTGTTCTTATCGAATCAACCCCTCCCAACTTTAGTTTTATGAGTCAGGAAAGAATGCATAAGAAAGGGGGTGGAGTTGCTATTCTGTTCAATGATTCCCTTCATGCAGGAAGACATCGTATGGAAACTTTGATTCTTTTGAATATGTGGCCCTTCGGCTGAAATGCTCCTCTCGAGCTCTGTTCCTAAATATCTATAGACCACCCAAATACTGTGCAAGCTTTTTTGATGACTTTACTGAACTGCTGTCTATAGTGTGTATTGACTTTGACCGTCTAGTCATTGTTGGTGATTTTAACATCCATGTTGACAACCCCCAGGACAGAGGGGCTAAAGAACTGTTTTGTGTTCTTGATAGCTATGGACTGACTCAGCATGTGACGGAGCCCACACACAATAAGGGGCACACTCTGGACTTAATTATCTCAAAGGGTCTGAATATCTCTAAGGTTGTGGTGACTGATGTTGCACTCTCTGACCATTCCTGTGTTTTCTTTGAGAGCTCTATTTCTGTTCACAAAAATGTTCAAAAAGAGGTAACCACAAAGCGATATTTAACTGAAAATACTAGGGAAATGTTTACTCAGAATTTCTCTTCCACACTTGCCCCTGCCAACATCTCAGTAAATGAGCTAGTAGATCATTTTAATTCAAAAATTAAAAATGTTATAGATGCCATTGCTCCAACTAAGGTAAGGAAGTGTCTGGCAAGAAAATATCTCCATGGAGAAAGGCCATGACGTGAGAGCAGAAAAAAGAGAATGTCGAAAAGCTGAACGCAGGTGGCGAAAAACAAATCTCCAGGTTCACTTTGAAATCTATAAAGAGAGACTTGGCCTTTATAATTTGGAATTGAAAAACGCACGACAATCGTTCTTCTCTGACATCATTACCAAAAACAAAAACAACGCACGTGCCTTGTTTGCTACCGTCGACAGACTAACTAACCCCCCAGTGTCAGTAGCCTCTGAATTTCTATCCACCAGGGCGTGCAATGATTTTGCCTCCTTTTTCACTGACAAAATTCAGAAAATCAGACAAGCAGTCAGTGCCTCTGCATCAGGAACAGCAAATGTGTTGTCCCTATCTCCACTTAACATCAATTCAG